GGAAACGCTTAACAGTAACCAAATTTTGAATACTTAAATATTTGAATGCTTACCTTGTTTTGGCAATCTTCTGAGCCCTTTACATATGTTGCTTCATTTATAGGTTTATAAGAAGTTTTGACAGGTAAGTACTATTATTCCTACTTTAAAGGAAAGGGAACTGAGTCATTGAAAGATTTCATGGCTTGTCTAAGGCCATTTCTTTTGAGTATTTATCATTTTATTCATCTCTAGAGTTTACTGAACTTTATGTCTTAAAGATTAAGCATCCATTATAATAATGGTTGATGAAAAAGTATTCAAAGGGGGTGAGAGAAAGGAGCAAAAAGACCTCCATGTGATCTTGGAAGAATCTTGCTACATATTGAGGCTGCCATTCTGTCCTTGGTCCCATCTCTATCCTTGTGCTTTCCCAGTAAGGTTATTTTCAATTTTTTTTTTTTTTTTGAGAGGTCAAAGTCACGAGAAGTGATAGAGTGTCAGCACTTATTTTGAGTTCATGTATATTCATTCTGTCTTATTTTGTATTTGTGCTCAACAACCCAAGCCTATCTATGAGAATCATGTGTGTTTCGGAAACTCTAAACAACATAATTGACAGTAGCACTTTAGGTTTGAAAAGATCCCATGCTTTTCTTTCTTTTTGTCTTCAGAGAAAGTACATGAGTAAATGTCAAGAACTGAAGCAGAAAGGGGTAATTTGATGTTGCCGAAACAGATTTTTACCTCTAGAAAATGTATTAGCTTTATAAATATAATAAATATATGCTTTCGGGTTTGAATTTTGAGAAGGATCTTTTCTGAGGCGAATAGATTGACATAATATTGATGTCTACTCTCTAAGAAAGATATTCGGTTGGCTAAATACAAGTTTATGGATACTTTTCCCTTACTCAAAAAAAAGTTTTTAAAAGAAAATTACACTTAGGATTCATAGAAAATCACTTTCTGCAGTTTTTACCCTTAGTTTTATTGAAATGATTTTTTTTTTGGTTCATTTTAAGCTATTGTGGACTATAAATTATGTTGTTATTTATTATTTTTTTGCTGGTAATTATATTCATCAATGTATTTTTCTCTTTAAAAAAGTGTGCAGGCATACACTCCTAGTAAAAGTGTATAGAGTAAAACTTAGAAGTTTTATTCTCTTGACTCCATTTAATCATTGTTAACTATTTGGTATAGCCTTTCCAGATTTCATCCCCTGCATTGCGTAGATAAAATGTATGTCATTGTAGAGATTGGGAAGCACATAATACATCATATGTTAATATTTTTCTATGTCTTGCCTTTAATTTATATAGCAACATGCCTTTCCAAGTCAGTATTTTTAAACATCTGAGTGGCATTTCATAGTAATTATATACTCATATGCAGATAACTTTTATTTATTTTTTTTGCTATTATGCACAGTGCTAACATGAATATTTTAGAAAAAATATATTTTGTACACATTTTAAAGTATTTCTATGAAAGAGAATTTAGAAGTAGAATGACTGTGTCAGGGTGTCATATGCATTTAATGTGTTGCTAGATATTGCCAAAATGTCTTCCCAAAAGGCTTTACCAATTTATGCTTCCAATTATAAGGCAGAAAACAGACCTTCTTATGTTTTTAATTAATTCCAAGTTTGTATGGGCCATTTTACAATTTAGAAGAAAGCAGGGAAGTGAAAAATGATCATAATTCAATGTGATAATTGCATTAATGTAATGTTATAAGAGGAATGTCTAAGATTAGATTGGGAGAGTTAGGAAGACTTTTCAGAAGATTTCATGCTTTAGCTAGGTTTGGAGTAATTAATTTGCATTAAGCAGGCAGAGGACTGAGGTATTTTGAGAGAGAAGACATTTTAGGCATGGGGAGCACTATATGTGAAAGGCAAAATGAATGAGATAATGTGAATTACTGAGAAACTGCAAGTGCATCAAAGTTATAGAAGGATAGGGTGTAGTAAGAGAAAAAAAAGAAATGCAGGAAAGGTATTAAAAGGCTATGATGGTTATTCTGAGGAAATGGGATTTTATCCTGTAGAAAATGATGAGTAATCAATGAAAGATGTAATCTGATTTTTATATTAGGAAGATTACCCTCTTGTCATTGTGGGAGGTAGAATGGGGTAAGTTCAAAAACAGGGAGGAGACCAGGTGAGGAATGGTGAAGGTCTAAACTAAGGCAATGACAATCTGAGAAAATGGGGATAGATTTGAGAGTTCCTAAGGAGGAATACTAAATAGAACTTGGAGACAATTTGACTGTGATGAATGAGGGAGAAGGAAGAGTTGGGAATGATTTTTGGGTACTTTAACCTTGGCAAGCAATTAGGATTTCTGTTGCCCAGATACAGAGTATAAGAGAAAGGACAGATAAAGATCATTTAAATGTAAGATAATATATGAATCTGATATTGCTGTGGGAAACCTAGTGGAGATGTGGGTAGACTGTGGAACACATGCATGTGACAGTCAAGTGAGAGCTGGGCTAGAGATATAGATGGAGAGGCAATGAAGATAGTAACATAAAACAAGAGGGTGAAAACCAGAATTAACCAAACCAGGAAAATACTAGGAACCAAGAGCTATGTGTTGCTGGACCATCAGATGAATGGAAAGTATATTGTAGGATATGGGGCCAAGAACCACATTATGAAAGCCCTTACATGGCTTCATGTGAGCTTAAATTTTTGTCCTAATGGCAATTGGAAGCTGTTGAAATTTTAAACAAATAGTGAGAATGAATAGATTTTTGTTTCATATAGATAATTTTGAGGCCTGAATGAAGGAGGAATTGAAGTTAATCTACCCAGAAGTAGGAAAATCTTCTAGAGAAAGGAGTTTATAGTACTTTTGGGCAATGAGTAAGAATATGACAGTATGAGTTAGAGGGCTTGTTCATGAAATATTTAGGAGAGACAAAGGCAGCTATTGATGATGGATATTGAAGGTAGAGTGGTAATAGGAAGGCATGGCTTCGGGGAGTCTTAGGTTTCTGGTTGGGTGACTGTGTTGGTGGTGTCATACCACTTAAAAGATTGCAGAAAAGATGATGAGTTTATTCTTTTTGGTTTTCCCCTAACACAAGAAACTATCAGATATTTCTATTTTGCTTTGTAGATAATTCCATGATGATTTACTCCCCAGTAATTCTTTGACACTATAGCTGTTAGAATCTTTTTTGTCTCTTTCCTGTTCCTTATGAGGCATAAACCTTTGCTTTCTAAATCTCTCTTTATCTCTAACTCTTTTCTTTCCTAATTTTTTTTTCAACCTCTAGGAAGAACCTAAGAAAGTCCGCTTTGATTATGACTTATTCCTGCATCTTGAAGGCCATCCACCAGTGAATCACCTCCGCTGTGAAAAGCTAACTTTCAACAACCCCACAGAGGAGTTTAGAAGAAAGTTGCTGAAAGCAGGAGGGGTGAGTGACAATGTCTTGTGAAAAGCCTTCCCATAAAAAACTAGTTGCTAGTGTGTTAAGAAGTATAAAAATGTTTTTAGAGAGGTAAAAGAGATGAAATACCATACAATCTATGCAGTTCAAATTTATTTCAACAAAAAGCCAAAACCAATAATCTATTCTCAATTAAGAACAATATCTAAACTTTGTTATATCAGTTTATAGAAACTTTTGAGTAAAGTTGAAAGTCACATTAAAAATATATAAAACAAGTTATCATCTAAAAATTCATGATCAAATTAATTTAAAAAGGTATGCTCATTTATATTACATGTTTAGGTTATTTAAATACACATTTTCATTTGATTGTATGTAGGTAAAAGATGGATTTCCCTTTTTAAAATAATGGTAACAAAGGTGTAAATTTTTGCCTATATAATTTGTCTAGGATAG